CACACACAAAAAACCGGGAGGGGGGGGGGAAGAAGACTTAACAACTACAATTCCTTGAAGTTGATACAACAAACAAACAGAAAGGACATTGTTGGGTGGGAGGGGGGAGTGGGAGGAGGGAGGGAGGTTTCGGTGATGGGCCACAATAATCAACCACATTGTATATTGACAAAATAAAATAAAATAAAAAATAAAAAAAATACAAGCCTGCTACATTGGCAGTTCAATACTAGGAATGCAGCTGATGTCAACAATATGATTTTCTAAAATGTGGCCAGCCAATTCTTGACAAAGTCCTAGACAAAAGAGAAGTCTGTAACAGTGTCACTCACTCTGTGCTTACTGTGCGCCTGGCGTTGTGCCAAATACTTACCTAACAACTTAAGAGGTGGGTGCTGCATGAGGGAGTTATCCAAGTTATCTACTAGTTGTCCCAGTTATCTGCTAATAATGGCTGAGCTGGGAGCAGCCTAGTTCCGGCATCTTTGCTCAGAATCACTGCTGTGCAGGCTTCCTTCAGTTTACAGAATATTCTAATTGAATTCCTGAAAAATCCAAAGCATATTAAAACTGGGCTAAAAATTCTCTGTGTTTATATGTAAAATGGTATTAGATTATAGACTCATTTGTAAGCTGGGTTTCTATCTACATGAATATTTGGTGGTCAGTTGAAAGTTGTGCTGATAGGGGGACAGTTCTTTGTAATGGGGGGTCTAACCTAAGGGCTGAGCAGCATCCTCCCCCCACCCCAAGTGCAAGCAGTGGCCACAGGTCACTGGCATCTCAAACACTTTCACGTATACACAGCTACTGCCTCTAGGGGGCGGTACCTCCCTTAAGTACTGCCTCAGTTTGTATATCTGTCCATTTTCTGTCTCTGCTTCTCTCTCTGCAGTTTTTTTCCCCACCAAACCCAAAGTTTTGGAATCTGTTTTGTAGGGGTTTCTGTTTTTGTTTTTCCCCCTGAAAGCCAAACATCTGTCGCCTCCTTAGGCCCAAAGACCATGAACATTCCTGTGTTTCAGTTTGTTACCCTGAAAACCCTACGAGCTATCTATGCATAACTTTTCATCCCCCAAAGAGCTCGAGTAAGTAAATCTCTTCGGTTGACATTTAATGTTACCAGCCAGCAAAGCATGAACCTCATGTTGCGTTTCTGTCTCCTGTCTCTTCTTGTAAGGGCACTAACCTCATTCACAGGGACTGCCCCCTCATAACCTAATCACCTCCCAAATACTGTCACATTGGGGATTAGAGTTTCAGTGCACAAATTTGGTGGTGGGGGGGGAACATGAACATTTAGGCCATAGCGTTCTGCTGGAAGGTGAGTATTTAAAAATCTACTGACTGAAAACACCTGGCTTTAAGAGCACATAAAAGCTGGATTTTCTGATGTTTCTTCAAATTTGTGGAAGACCTTGCATGATGTGCCAAAGCTCATAGGACCTCAATACATGTTTGGTATTACCAAAAGGAACTTAAAAAATACATTTTATAGCCTGTAGGATATGGAACTAGAAAAAAAATTTAATCTTACTGTAAACTTTACCTTACAATTATTTGGAAATTTCTCAATTGCAAAGTTTTGCTTTAGGGGTTCTAATTATTTGGGGCCAGAATTATTGCTAGAAGTGAGCTGATTTGACAAAGGGGACCTTCAACATGACATCTAACATGACATTTAACATAAGTAAAGGAAAAAGTGACTACATCACATTCAGACTTGCTAGAGAGCCATGTTTTGCTCTAGTTTTAGGGATGGAGGATCTGTCTCAAACTGTGTGTGTGTGTGTGTGTGTGTGTGTGTGTGTGTGTGAATGGAATAGATTTTTTCCTACTACAAAAGTCCTTCTGAAATAATGGCCTATGGCCCACTAGTTTGGATAGAGGAGAGAGAAGGTTTTGTCCATAACCAACAAAATACTGTCACACAGCCAATAAGCTGTCACTGTTTTTCAGAAACTTTGGGGCACGTGCTCCACTCATCTTACATCGAAATAAATGCACATGGTGTCAGTTATTAAGGACTAAATTCTTGTTGTAACCCATCATCCTGGGCATATTCTATAATTTCCATGGCAATGTTTATAAAGCTCATCTGAGTTGATCAACTGTTCATATGCTGCCAATTTCTAACAGACTGCAGGGATTAAAACGTGAGGCTACACACCTGAAGACGGTGGATCCTAATCCTACATTCTCTCCTGAACATTCTCACTGAATATTTTGGAGTCATTGCTGTCTGGGGAGGACAGCTTGAGCATGCATGTCACATTTACAGCCAACTTGGTAGACACTGGTCTCCTTTACTGAGCTTCTCGTTTCTGTGAAAAGTCATGAAACTGAAGTTAGAGGAGAAAATTAAATAAACCACAAAGGTATTTAGAAGGAAGAAGGGATAATCACTCCTCATATCCAGGGATAGGAGAACAGTCTTGTCCTTTTCTCTTCCCTGGCCTGGAGCAGTGTAAACACTCAAGTGTTTGTGAAGGAATGATTAAAAGGAGAGAAAGTATCAGGAAAAAAATGGTTAAGATGAGAGAAATGTTCTTCCATGGGCTAGACCTTTTAAAAGGGATTTATAATTTAGCTTTGTTGTTAGGTGGATGAAGACTGATTTTTATTTTAAGAGATTCCTTTACCATTTTGACATGTCTTGGTTTGAACATTTTGACTATTTTAAAGAATGCTGAAAGAACTAATAATGTCTCTGAAGTAAGAAATTGTCCTTTTAATTGACTTTTCTTACTCATATCTGCATTCTCTGTCATTTCCACTGAGGCTGCACCAGGATAAGAGAGGAGGGATTTGGGGAATTAGTATTAACTTAGAAGTCTTAGACTTTTGGCATCCAGTAGTTAGAAGCAGTTGGGAGCTAAGCTTTTGAAGTGAGATAATCCAGCTGTCCCACTTTACCACGTACAAGCTCTGTGACTCGAAGGAAGTGACTTATCTGTCTGCTCCTCACTTATCTGTGAAATGGGGATAATAATAGAATCTACTTCACAGGCTTATGGTGATTAAACGAGATAATGTTTGTAAGGCCCTTCTTTAGTAGAGTCAATCGCACGGCACTTAATAGGTGCTCACTGTTGTTGTAAGACTATAGCGGCAGTATTTACTCCATCTTAACCGCTAGTCAATA